ACCAGCAAACTTTTGGTGCATCGACGACGCCCAACCAACTGAGCCACACCAACCAGGGCGGATCCAGTGTTTTTAAAAGATGCGTAGAGGATTCTTAAGTTCAGCCAGGGTTCAAAACCTCCACAGCGATGAGGACAATAAGACCCAGGGCAGGAACTGACTTGCCAACACCACAAGGCTAGCTGGTGTCAGAGACGACCCAACCCTGGCGTCCAGATTCCCTTTATCAAAACATACTGTCTCAAACGGGTGGGTTTTGTAAGGAAAATTGTGCCGAAACCTCAAGAGTTTGATTTATTGTCCTTAGGGGAAATGATCCTACTCTAAAAGCTTAGCCACTTTGAGGCCACAGATAACTGGAAATAAAATTCAGGCTAAGAATTCATGGTTGCTTTGTGAAAACAAACAAACAAATTAAAAAAACACCCACTGAATTATATACTTTAAAAGGGTGAATCTTATGGTATGTAAATTATACCACAACTTTTAAAAATTTCAAATGAGAGACATTCTACAAAATACCTCAAGGAAAGCCTAAGAAACTGTCACAGCCAGCGGGAGCCTAAAGAGACCTGAGTACAAAATATAATGTGGTGCCCTGGACGGGACTCTGGACAGAGAAAGGACATTAGGGAAAATCTGAGAAAATATGAACTTTAGTTACTAATAATAACATATCAATGTTGGTTCAGTAAGTGTGACAAATGTACCATTATAATGTGCAGGGAAACTGGGTATGTGGTATACAAAAACTTTCTGTACTGCACTCACAATAATTCTATAAATCTAAAACTGCTCTAAAATAATAAAAAAACGTTATCAAGAAAAAGCAACAGGGCAGGTCACCAAACCTCTCAGTTTTAATTTCTCTATAAAATATGGCTTTGCTCTTTGGGATTAGTATGTGGGATAATGAAGCTATAGATGTTAATGAATGCAAAAGGTAAATATAAAAGAACAAAACAAAATAAAAAACAACCTTTCTAGGTATCAAAAATAGAGCTAATCTTTTTCCTTGAAAATAAGATTCTTGACTCCTTGTGGCTAAACCAGCAATGCCCTAAAAATGTCCTGCCAGAGTGAACTGAGCAGATCCTCAAATGCTCCTACACCTTTCTGAATGGCCGCAATCACTTCAAAAGAAAAGACAATTACTACTCTGAGCAGGAAAGCATTTGACCAACACCGTGGGCAGCCGTCGTGACTGATGTATTGTTGCTCCAAGTGTTAGTTAAAAATAGAAAGTCCGCATCCCTCTCCAGGGTTTGGCCTCTCCCCTACCTTTGAGGACATGATGTTCTTCACTTCCTCATCAGCGGCAGAGTGTGTCCCGGTGAGGTCCGGGTTACTGCTGCTCATCACCCGGGCCTGCAGCAGCTTCGAGCTCACGGCAGCCGCAGAAGTACGTCCATACGTGTGGTAGCGAGGGTCCGGGAGAGCAGTGGGGCCGCCTGCATCCCATCAGGTACAGACATGTCAATAGAAAGTGGGTCAGAGTCACTTCCTGGACTTGAGAAGGAACTGAAGAGGGATGGGGTAGATAGTGGAATGAAAACCTTCTAGATTGGGCCTTAGACTTAGGGTCTTATTATCAAATGCCTTAGGGAAGACAATGATTTGGGGGTAAGTAGATAGGATGTAAGGCGGTAGGGAGTGGTGAGAACTGTGGTAGACTGGAAACACGGGCCTCATCCCAAGGCAGAGGGTGCTACTCAGCTCCAGCCTGTTATGGCCACAAGAGCCTGCCCTCCGGGTTGATGGAGTTTCTGACTTCTCAATATAAGCTGGAAACATGAATGTATGTATTTGTTTATTAATATTTAAACGATGACAACTTTGTAAGTAAAGTTTTCTGAGATTTCAGGATCCCAGGAATTATCTGAACCTTCAGAGGATAAGTGTATACTATATTTCGATGTTTTTCACCTGTCAGTATTTACTTGTCTTCAAAAGTGATTATGTGAGTCTATGACAGTGATGGCAAACCTATGAACTCATTTTTTTGGTTGATTTTTCTTTGTTAAATGTCATTTAAATATATAAAATAAATATAAAAAATGTCTTTGTTTTACTATGGTTGCAAATATCAAAAAATTTCTATATGTGACACGGCACCAGAGTTACGTTAGGGTTTTTCAAAATGCTGACACGCCAAGCTCAAAAGGTTCGCCATCACTAGTCTATGACATAGACCAGTATTTAAAAAAACTCAATTGAAATGGCAGGTTTACTTGAAATAAGGCTGGGTGAACTAATGAGAAGGCCCAGTTTCTTTGCTGGGGCCTAGGACTTTGTGAACTTGTTGGTTATCAAGCTGACCAGTAGGTCTGTTTGAGTATTACCTATGCAAATAACAAAGAATGGAGAAATGAAATATTATTTCAAAAGGCTAGTTAGAGAGACATGAGAAAAGGGATTTAATTTTTCATAATGAGAAATCTAGGAAACACTGCTTATCATCACTCTCAAATATATATTATTCTCCTTACCATTAATTTCCTAGACTCCTAGGCATCTGTTGTCATTTCTCCATATTTTACAAAAGAGATCCTAACTGAATCCAAACTTACCTACTAGGTAAAGACCAGTGAGGGATTATCAAACAGGCAGAGAAAATAAGTGCTTAGAGTATATAAAGAAGGATGGAGGCAGGAAGAAAGCAAGAGGAAAATCTAGAAATAAACTCTTAATGTTAGTATTCATGTCATATGTGTGTCATTCTGAAAAATAAAATGTGACATTCACGCTTTTTATTTTATTTGAATGACGTGGCAGTGGGGTGGGGGTAAGGGTGCCCGGCCGCCAGACACCACCCTCGAGGCCACGCTACCTGACTTGGGCAGGTCCTTCTGCAGCTCAGGCAGGCGGAAGACGTAGTGCACGTAGGAGGCCAGCAGGCAGTTCCTCCCGTGCTGGTCTTTGCTCAGGTCCTTGCTGTTGTGCAGACTGTTGGCGATGGCCACCACGGACTCAAAGGCAAACTGGGAGAAGTTGGCTGAGGAACCAAGATAAAAATGGGCAGCCTCACAGTCGGTCCTTAATGAACCCAAAGTAAAGTGTTTTCCAGGGCAGTGACAGGGAGCATGACCACCAGCCTAGAGAGCTAGGCGGTCAGGATGATGGCCTGCTGGCTCCGCATGCTGCCAACGGTGCCAGGCTTCCTCCCCCATTCTCGCCCTCCCACCAGCACTACGCTTTTTCATGACAAAGCCATGAGACTATCCAGACAACCTCCCTTTCTAAACCATGATGTGAACTGGGGCTACTCAGCGGGGTCTGCACTGACATGGTCAACGTCACCCAGGAGCCTGCTAGAAATGCAGAATCTCAGGCCCCGCCAAAGACTTGCTAAGTCAGAATCTGCATTTTCACAGGGTGCCCTGGGATTCTCATGCACCCTGTGGTCTGAGATGCACTGTTGCATCTTGGTGTACAGATTGCTCTAAAAATGTGTGTATTGAGGTGATTCCCTACAATGGACCTTTACAAAGGATTGATTTAGCACATCCACTGTCTTGTTCTGGAGCTCCAGCCTCCACAGTTCGGCTCCACCTTACTTACCAAACTTTGGACCCTTTTCTGCTCAACCTCAACTTCTTTTAAAATGAGGCACTGGTTGTATTATCCCCATCACATGTCTGCTCTTCCTCATCTCTGTGACTTTGCTGATACCCTTGTCCTCACCTAGAAAGCCCTCCTCCCACTCACAAAATCACACCAACCTTTCAATGCTCAACACAATCCTATCTCCCTGACAGAGCCTTTGGTACCACTCAGTACAGGGCTTAAGTGACACCAAGTCCCAACATGCGTTGGCTATTTCTGGTGGTAAGTCCTGTCTTTCTGAGTAGGCTGGAAGCCCTTCCAGGGCAAAGCGCATTTTCATACTTTCTTGTTTCTCAAGTGCCTTTCATTGTGTCTGACAACAACAGGTCTGAATAAAGGCTTGTTGTCTAAACACCTCTACTTATTCTGCCTGTCCCAACACCCTGTTGTCCCCATGACAAGGCAGCAACTTGCTAAGGAGAAGATGTGTGAATGAATATTTTTGTCTAACACACAAGTCTATATTAAATAGCTGAAACATGCAAAGCAGTGTGCCACATAGGTGGGGGCATAGAAAGAAATCCAGGGAGGGGAGAGGTCACTGCTCTGCAAGAATCTCGCTGGAGAGGTGTCAGCTGCACGTCTGAAATGTAGCCTACAACGTAGGATGTCTTATCTGTGGAACCACAAAAGACACACCCCAGGATACAGTGCAAACAAGGGGTTAAGAAGACATGCTCTTCCCTGGTCTACGAGTTTAGCAAATACCCCCGCTCCCCCCAATCAATTTACTCAGATTCCATAGCCCAACTGGGCTATTTCCTTCTTTCCTCGCACTCCCGTGCTTTTCTGAGTCTCTGCTTTTGCCACTCACTTTCACTGTCTCCATTTGGGCTGCTTTCTCTCTACACCTCCCTCAAGGTCATCGCAAACACCTTCTTCCCAGAGCCTCCAACATCCTCCCAGATGGATGTTCTAGCGCCTCCTCTCCCCCCCAGTATTTTTAGCCGTGTCCTTTCGAGGATTCTTGTCCTATGCTGCTGCTCTTCACTGTATTTATTGTAAGTCCTCTCAGGTCAGCTATGCTCTCAATTATTGCGAAGCCTACAACTGCTAGCACAGTACTGGGAACACTGATGATGCCTAAAAGACATCCCCTGGACTCGCTAGCATGGGATAACATAAGCCCAGCCAAAAACAGTGTCAGACAAAAATGCCCTACACCAGCCAATCTGCCCCAGGAGGAGTCAGGAGAACCACGGGACCCACGGGACCCACGTCTTACATGACATTATTTCCAACGGAAGTTTTACACATTGTATTTAATGTTCACTTGTTAAAAGCAAGCATTTAAAATACACTATCAGTCAGCCAGTAGATGAGTGGTTGCCAGGGGCTAAGGGGATCAATATAAAACATGATCACATTGCATTTCAATTTAGAATTCCCTTCCTTCTACTTAATGTGAATTGTCTTATTCTTTTGAGATATTTTATTTCCCTGTTGGTCAAGAAAACAAAAATATCTTAGAAGTACAAGAATTCTATCCACTACAAGGAATGGAATTTGAAAGGCTGCTTCTAATAGTTTTTAAAAGTTTATTTTAAAAACTATGATTTTAAGCATCCAATCTTAATTTCTTTTTTAACATCCAGGGAGAGTAAGAAATAGCACTGGACCTGGCCTGCCTTGGACTCACATCACCAACAGAAAAGAAGATCACACTTTCCCTGCTCCCAGGATTTCTGGAAAATCATGTCTCCTAACACAAGGCACTGCCTGCCTCTTCCCGCCTCCTTCCAGCCTCCTACCTGTCTGGCCGGCGATGACCATGGGCTGCACGGACAGCTGGAAGAGCTTGTCCAGCACCAGGTGCAGGAAGAGCACGAGGGGCTCCAGGCGGGAGGAGTTGAGCCAGATGATGCTGAGCTTCAGCTCATGCTCCAGCGTCGTCTCACTGATCTTCTGGTCCAGCACGCGGATGGGGAAGGTCACCTGGCTCTCCAAGGAGTGGCAGAGAGTGAAGAACTTCTCCAGGTGGTTGTCCTGGGAAGGCAGACAGCAGGCCTCAGGGTCTTATCCCATCCAGGCTCACCAGTGAATTCATAAACACAATCAAATGGCTCCTCATAGGCAGAGCCCTTTATCCCAGGTCTTAGACCACAAGTTTTAAGACATGGATGTTTCAGACCAAGGTTATGAACCGCTTTGTAGAGTGGTGTGCACAAAATAGACCCTCTCCATTAACTATTAACTGAAGAAGAAAATAATTTGGACTCTGACATATTCTGTAAGCAGAAGCAAGCACACCAGGTGAGCATACACAGCCCAAAATGGGTCTACACGGGTGCAAAACAGTAGCACAAAAAGGAGGGAGTGGCTGTGAAGTGGCAGAATCCCAGAGGGGAATGAGATAGAGACTTCAAATGAAGTCTCTCCACATAATTTCTCAGCCAACTGTGCAGCGACTGGGTTCCTTCATTTAGGTGCTCAACCTTTTGATAAGGTCTTTCCATTCAAATGAAAATTAAACCTGAACAGGCTTGGAAAGTCCCCATAAAGAACTAAAGGTTATTTTTGCTTTATTTGTGCACAGTGATTTTCATTGGTTGGTTACTGGGCTGTCTTTAGCAGGTTCTCTGCTGCGCCCCCATTGTCACTATTGGCCTCCTGGCTCTGAGGTGAAGCCGGCCTCAGTGTTGCTTACCTGGGTGTGAACGGAAGAAACAGCTTGCACTTCAATATTAAATACTCCCTTATGTCCTTCAGCCCACTTAATAGGAGGATTCTGTAAAGGGACTTTCTGTGTTAAAGAAAAAAAAAAAGATTAGCAATTCAATCCCTTTTTCTGAATACTAGCAAGCAGCACGAAGCAACTTGACTGTAAATGTCAGGGTTATCTATAATAATAAAAGCGTAATTGCTAATTAGACCAGACAGCTGAACGACCTTCCAGATGTCATTATGGACATCCTTCTGGACGAAGCTGTGGTAACGGGGGCCGAGGCAGAGGCAGTTAGGGGTGATCAGGCAGGTAGGCAGGTGAATGGTTAGGTGCCAGCAGTCCCAGATTGCGGTGTTGGGCCTAAACTGGCAGTCGGACATCCCCTGAGGGGTCCCAGATTGCGAGAGGGTGCAGGCCGGGCTGAGGGGACCCCCCACCCCCACGCACAAATTTTGTGCACCGGGCCTCTAGTTCAAATATAAAATTCCCCAGAAAACTAATAGAATTGGCCTTGGAGTTAGAAGCTCTGGGTTCAAGTTCTGTTCTGTCCTGAACTAGTTACTTTGCCAACTCAGTTAAACTCTTTGGGCCTTTGTTTTCTTTGCTGAAATGATGGGTTTGAGCTGAGTGATCTGTCTTTAAGCTCCCACCCAGCATCGATAAATCCTTGATTCTAGGAATTGAAATAGAGTAATATGTCGGTGATTTCCCCATTAGTCAGGAATATCAAGAAAAAGCCTAGAGTATCTTTTACATGACATAAAATTGTAATGCTTTTGAGA